TTCGCAAATAGTTAAGGATGTGGGTTGTTCTAGTTTTAGGGAAATGCGAAGTTTAGCTCAGGATAGGAAAGAGTGGAGGTACGTGTCCAACCAGTCTTAGGACTGACGACCTTATGATGATGTTGACTCAGAATTTAACCCCTTTACATAAATATGATATTAAAAAAAAAAGAAATGCAGAAACTAAAAAGGCAGTTAATTGCCAAGAAATGCTTTCCGATCTATTCTAATAAGATTTGATTTGTAACAATAATTCAAATATTGTAAAATATACATCAGTTAAGAAAGTTAATATTTACAATGTAATAACGCTATATTTGTAAATAGCGTAAATAATAAACAAATAACTGTACACAATGAAATTTTTGAAGTTGTAGGCGCTAATGATAAGAATGATAAGATTATTATTATTATTACTATTTACACACGTTTTTTGACCTGTTATAAGTGACGTGCCCTTTAAACAACTGAAATAACTGTGTATCTATACCTAAAAAAGCGTTTTTCTAAAAAATTAGTTAACCTTTTTTGATTAATAATATGTTACAAATATAATTTACAAAATGTTATCTATCAATAAATCCTTGCTTGATTAGAAGTACTTTATAGTACCTTTTCCTGTCTAAAAAAGGTACTATTTGTAATTCCGAATGTCAAAAAATGTCAGTAATTCAGACGTTTTGTAATAAAAAAAAGAGAGCTAAAAATAGGACATTTCATGTTTTTCGGGATATTTTCAGCAAAAGAAAAATGCGTGAAATGTAATAAAAGGCAACTGCCAGAAAAGTAACAGCAAAATATCTGTACGCAGTCAAGGGTTCAAATCATAAGAAAGGGAATGAAAATTAATTACTTTTTTGTAAGTTAGAAAAACTTATTTTGAACTCCTACACCAACGGTTGCATGAACATTTGCTAGAAAACATTTTTTAATATATCGAAGGATATAAAATATATACAATATTCATTTCGAATTATTCAAAATATTGAATATTCTGCTATCAGGGGCGGCCTTTGGGGGTGGCAAGGAGGCCAACTACTCGAGGTCTTGCTGTTGCAGGGGTTACAAACATCATTTCTGAATGCAGATTAGTTTTAATATGTTATCTTTTGTGTTTGTTAATTTTTGATAATTTCCAATAAACAATTTTAAAACTCTAAAATTATTTATTAATATCTTTGCATTTCTGGTCAAGTATTATCATTAAAACTAATTCCACAAAGACAAGGGCCTTGCAAATATCTACCCGTCCGGAGACTCGCAATGGCTAAGGCCGCCCCTGTCTGTGCCAATTTCAAATCGGATTCTAACACTATTCGCATCATAGCCTTGTATAATATTCTACAATAATATCCCTTGTACCGTAAGCCAATAAAATAGCGAGATTTTTACAACCACCATTATACTTATTATTCAATAAAATAAATTAAAATCTTACCTGCAATGACGTGTAGCTGTGTTGCTTCTTGTTGAACCTGAACCCTCTCTCGTGATGTTCATTAACGTGATGATGCTTCAGCAACAGTACTCTCATTATTTTAGCTTTATCCGCTTCCCGAATTAAATCTTCTTTGTATAATTCTTCGGTGATTCTGTAAGAGATTGCGGGCAAGTCCTTCTCTTCCATGTCTAAGATGACCAGTCCGTCTTCCAAGCATCGTCGCAGATTTAAAAGAGAATGGAAACTGAGGGATGCCACATGGGGTCTTCCCCATCGGTCTACGCCTTCTTCAACATCTTCTTCGTACTTGATCCAACGGGCTGTTTCTCTCCATTCAGTTTCTTCCGAATGCTCTTCGTCAGCGCCCAGCTCGTCCAATTGGACGAATATCTGAATGAAAGAGATGACGTATATTATAATATAAATATCTATAAATTTTTAGGAAAATTTATTACAAAGTATAAAGAAGCTAAAATGAACGAAAGTAATCAATCTAAGCACGTTGGAGAATTTTTTCTCTCTCGATGAATGACTAAATGATCAACGTGGATCAGGAAACTTGAACATTTTTGTATTAAGGATGTTTGGGAGGTATGTCAAAATGCTACGAGACAAATAAAAATTTGGAAGAACGTCCCTCATTCAATTCTAAAACTCCTGTAAAAATTACAAATCGATTCACTAAACCGTTAAAAAGTTATTGAAATTTTAAAAAATTGTAATTTTACACGTCATTTTATGGAGATTCGTTAACCGAACAGATTAAATTTATTTTTATTAACAGAAAAAAAGCTACCAGAAATTTCAAACTTTTATAATAAGTAACTTGAACTCTGGAGAATCACTTTAGCGTAAGGTTATTCAAATTCACTAAATGGTTATCGAGGAAAAAATGAAAAATTAGCTGAAAATCTCGTTTTTACTTGATAATATAATGATAATATTTATAATTGTCTGAAATAAATGCAATTTTAAAGTTTTAATTATTATTTAAACATATTAAAAAGTTTTACGCTCATTATTAATAGAGATTGAAACTAAATATTTTTTTGTTTCGAAGTTGAAATCAAGGCATATTCACTGCCAAAAGTCAGTTAAAAATTTTCCATATTATTCGTTATTTCTTATTTTATTCAAAGTTTTTGGTCAAATTCCAAATTTTCTCTCAAACCGTATACTTTTTTTTAGTATAGATAGTATTTATTTACCATGATATGCTGCAAAACCTAATTAATCACGAATTTCTAATTTTATGTACTCTTGTCTCCGATTGTACCTCCCAATCTGGTCTCAGAATTGTCCCATCACATCAAAATTTTGAAATATCCTAACTTTGAAATCCAAGTGATGCTAAAATTTGGCCCATTTGGATTTGAAATTAGATATTTCAAAACTTTTAATTACTTTATTTCTTTACAGTAATGCTCCCGAAAAAGGGTTTTAGTGGTAACCAGGAAGAGTCTCTATTAGTTTATTTATTAGTTTACCATTGTCTCGATTTTTTGAACTAAACATCAAAGAATAGGTTTTCCAGATGAATTTATTTTTATTTCCATTGTTATTTACTGAAATTTCCTTATACTTTCTCGGAGATTCATTTTTTTTACAAAATACCTTGACCAAAATTTATAATTAATATTTTCCACGATACAACACTTTATCCTATAATGAAATTCCTTAGTGGTTTTGTACGAAGGCGTAGAAGGGCCACACATACTAGAAATTTCGACTTGCAACTGGAAATTTCAAGTTGTAAATTTTGACCTGCTTATTAAACTACTTATTGAATCGCAACCTAACTCTTCAATCCTAAGGCAATTTTAAGAAAGGTCGAGAGTACTACAAGACTCATTTCGTTTGTGTTGTCTTTACCTACTGTAACGTTATCAATTAGGTTAGCGTCATAATTTATGGGGTAGATAAAGTAGAATCGCAGAAAACAATCGTCATAACACTGATGGGTAAAATTATGTTTCGGGCTGAAAGGCCGTGGTCTAAATAAACTGCAAAGACGTTTTGTTGGCAATTGCGGCTGACATCTTCAGCGGTACTCCACTAATAACGTCGGCGCTGAAGATTTCAATCACAGTTGCTAACGAAACGTCTGGATCTAACAGTTTATTCAGATCACGATCTTAATTCTACGATATCATTGATTCCGGTCATGAAAGCGTATGTTCTTATATTGATGACTGTCTTAATACTCAAGTCGAAATTTTAAATTGCAGGTTGAAATCTCGAGGTACAAATCGAAATTTCAAAAAAAGATTATGTTTAGGCCTTTCTACACTTCACTTTCAAAAATGCCGATCCTTAAATTCCTATCTCGATTTTGTTGGCCTGTGAATTTTTGAGTTAGTATTTCACCATACACTTTTTGCATTTTTCACTTGGAATCTCTAAGAGTCAAACCAAATGAAGTAATATAAAAAAACTCAACAATCGTTATATAAATATAATAAAAGCAACGTATAAAACGTTTAACTTTTGTGGGTAAAATTGTAGTAATGCTTATGTAATGAATATTGCAAGCGATAAAGTATCTACTAAAATGTATAGGAAGCTAAAATGACGACAAGGGAAGGAACTGAATGGAGTGCTATGTAGATATTATACTATGTATTTCGAAGTACATGAGAATTCTGTTGAAAATTAATATTTCACTGAAATGTAAAGGTGTCCTCATTATGACCCTTTTACATCTGTACCTATGTGGAAAGGTTTAGATAATGCCCTAGAGTATGACGTGGGTAATAAGAATGCCTTTATTATCTACGTAATAATTTTTTAGCAGTATTTTAGGTCGAGATAATTAGGTTTACTGACCCACGCTTAACTGTTCAGAAAAAAGAAAGTATTTTTGCTTAGGTATATAAATGTCTGAATGACTCTAATTTAACTTTAAAGCAAAAAGCTCCTTTATTTATTTAAAGGTGTTCATTAGCAGTAGTAGATGGCGATAAAAAAATGACGCACAGGAATATCTACGCACTAAGAAAGCAAGTGGCACAAATTATTCTTAACTGACCTAAATATTATTTCGAAAAATGAAGTATTGAAAGTTGAAGCATTAATAATAATAATAATAGCTGTTTATATGTATAAATGGCCAAATCGCTCCAACCTATTTTACTTACTCTGTATCTTTCACTGAATAGCTTGAAAAACAATTTATTTAAATGACAGAAAAGATGGAATAAACATTGTCAGTACTTCTCAAGAAAGTTTAGAAGAACTTTGAAATAAACTGTTGGCGTACTAAGATTTATTAATTTATAACTTCAACGTTTCGCTCTACGATTGTGAGCTTCTTCAGGGCAAAGGACAACACCCACTTACATAAATATAAGTGTGTTCATTTGTTTATCTATTTATTACCATTTCACGTCCTGACTACTTAACCGATCATCATGAAATTTTGTATACACATTGTTAGAGGTACAGAAGAGGACATAGGCTACCTTTTATCTAGAAAAAATACTGTTCCCGAGGAACAGACGAAATTTCTTTTTATCTCGATAAAGGACAGTACTCATAGTGCTCATAAAGTGGTAAATTGATAACTAATTAGGAACAGAAGTGTTAATTAGACAGCAAATAGTCAAATAAAAGTAGTAATAGCGTGAGGAAGGTGTTTAAATACGTGACAACACAATTATTACATGTTTTTCAGAAGAACTTAGTTGTTATATTCTATTTTGGATGTGAATGTAATGTTGCAGGTGATTGCAAAATTTTAAGACTAATTCGGCATTGGATTAATTTTATTTAGGTTCCTTAAGTCAAACTTTCCTTATACTGCCATTATTTATTTAGGGATTGCCCATAGAATACGTTACTCAGAATTTCACCTTTTTGGACCCCACCCTTCCACTTTATCAACTTAAGTCACACTTTCAGCGACTCCCTTAACAAATATTACGTTATAAAATGTAGCCCACAAAAACGATTTCTTGCGATTAATAAAAAAAATTTAAGAATTACCAATATAAGAGAAAAATTAAAATTAAATTGACGTGAACTGTGAACGTCACATTTCCTTAGACCACCTCCTTCCTTTTCATACCTCGACATGCTAAGCAATGCCTCTCCCTCTCCCATATTTTATGGACGTCTACTTATCCCAGAAATTTTTGTTTAAATAAAAAAAAAACGTTTAGTAATTTTAAATTTAATTTGAACTTACAATGTTATTTCTCTTTTAAAGTCGCGATAATATCGATTATTTATTTTTTAAATTTTAATGGTAAGCATGAATGTGACATCTTTATTTACCTGTCGATATAGTGGAACTTAAATTATTTACAGTGATATTAACGAGACTGTGAATGTAATAACAATCGTTTTTGAGAGAGAGAGAGAGAAAAAAAAAAAGAGATTTTCTTGATCATCACGTTGAATTTTATAAGATTATGTCGTGATTTTGTAATCAACCTTATTTTGTTTTCATGGCATAATTATTTGAATCAATTTATTATGTAATTTCAACGTATGTAGGTATACCACGTTGTTTCAACAAAAAAAATAATAATTAAGTGGGTACTTAAATGTATGTGGTGTGTGTGTGTGGTATTTGATAGTAATGTTACAACTATATTTAAAAGTAACCAATTATATTACTAATAAAAACATACTGGTAATAAAAAGATGACTAATTTCCTGATTTTTTTTGGTTAAAATGTATGCAATACTTTCGTGACAAACTATTTTTTATTGGGATAAAGAATTAAAAAACTTCAGTCATGCAATTTGAAGATTTAATCAGTTCTTCAAGTCAGTTAAGAAAAAGTCAATTTTACAATAAAAACATTAGAAATTATGGTTTTATTAAAATTTTCTTCTTCTACGTATTAAATCATTCAGTAAAATTCAAGCCGAAACATGAAGGAAAAGATCTCTTTGATACTTTTTCGTCAGATATTATTTTTTTTTTTGGATAAAATTGTTATAAATTTCGAGCTGGGTACCATGACAAAGTGACGCTATACACTTTTTTTAGATTCTACACCAACTAAATGAAATTCTCATCTTTAGGCTTCGGTTCAGATGAGAAAAAATTTAATAGAAACCATAAGTTTATTGGAAAATCGATTTTTTTCTTAATTACCCGAGATAAAAATGTTCAGTCTCTCAGAGTCTCAAAAGCGACACTCGAGTGTCCGTCTCTCATCGAGTCTCTCTGGTGTTCAGAGAGAGTTCAACATATTTCAGAGTTCCAGTTCTTTCTACGAGATACTCGAGTCTCTGAATTGTTCAGTTTTATTCATTCAGTCTCTCTGTGAGAGACTCGAATCTCTGAATTAACAATTTTATCGTTCGAGTCTCTCATACAGAGACTGTGAGAGATCTATAAAAACACCTGGGCAATAACTGAGAGACTGTGAAAGACTGTGAGAGACTGGAGAGGGACTGAAAATTTTGTCTAGTGTATATAAAAGCTCATGAACTAACGGTGTATTATGTTGACGACTAAAATGCATGGTTTCGTTCATGTAAAGTGTTTTTGTTCGAGAAATAAAAACGAAAATGTTTAGTGAAATATTTAATTTATTCCCATGCATTTGTAACTAAAAACACCAATTCCATTTAGCAAAAAAGCAGTAGTGCGTATAAATAAATACATAATCTTATTTTTTACTTAAAAAATCGGTTGTCTGTAAAGTCGGTTTACTGACGATAGTTGAACGTGACAACGTCATAAGAAAATATTGATGGAATGGTTTCATTTTTCAAAAGAAAATTTTAATTTTATTTGTTTGATAGATATTTTGTATGGATATAGAGAAGGAGGTAAATGGAAACGTATTATTCTATAGCAGCTGTCCACGCAGACGCATCGCTCACTCAAGTAGGAGAGAGACAGGTGTCGAACGCTGCCGAACGCGGAGGCCGATTGTGCCTCTTTGTCGCTCGTTCCGCGCTCTCGCTTGCACTTCAAACCTTAAATGAAACGCCTCAGAGCGAGGTAACGCCGCATGAGTCATGTTTTTTCGTGCTTGCAGCCGGCTCCATCGAATTATAAGACGTTGTCACGTCAAAAACATTATCTTATTATCAATAATAAAAAATGTTTTCTTTTACATAACTGAAAATATGCAGATTTAGTTAACATCGGCAAACAATGAAGTCTTTACATAATATTCTATATATTCCTAAGTAATTTCAAGTTTCCGTTAATTAGTCGTCAGACAAGGTATTATTATTAATTACTGAATAAATAACGCTACTAATCGTGATTTCATTACGCCATTTTATTCAAACAAAGCATTGCATTTTGATGAATGAAGAAAACTATGTATCCTATAATTACATAATTCATAATGACTTATTTCATTCCAAACATACTCAATCATATCGTTGTTTTAATCATAGAATTGCACGATGTATTCACCGAATGGGAATTCATTTAAAAATAACCTTTTCGTGTCCTTTTGTACAATTTTGGTTTCGTTTGGCTGGCAAATCATATTGTTGATCATGACAATTGTTTAAATTAAAACTTTAGGAATATTAATTGTATTAAATTTGTCTAGCTATAACAGAAAATGCAATAGGTATATGGTAGCACTTACGAAAATTCGTTATATCCGAACTCAAAAATATACGTGTAATAAGAGCTTTACATGAGATTCTTAAGTTTACTCGCTATAAGTGATTGTATCGATTGTTATAAGCGAACTTTTCCTTTCTATCAGATTTCCTGTAGTTCGGAGCCTACTAATTTTCAAGACAGTGGATTTATGAGTTAAACTATTTGAAGCAACGTTAATATATATTCTTTTCTTGGAACGAAACATTTTTAGTATTTAAAATTTTCAGTTTGCATTACTGGATTTTAACATTAATTGTAGAAAAAAGAAACTTTACCACTGTTTAAAAAACAGGATCTACAAAAATGTCCTTGGAGGTAAATGTTCTTTGTTCCTTTGCCGGTATATCACACGGCAGAAATATAGAGACAAACTAACTTTTTCTGGTATTCTTACTTTTTTCAAATACCTTGTAATATTGTTTCCGTTAAAGGTTCAATTTATGCCTTGCAGAAAGGGCAAGATGTCGAGTTTTCATAACTTTCGCAACTCTAAACACTATTTTCTTCAAAAGTTATGACAAGCTCGCATTTTTTACAGAATATTTCAGCTTTTAACACAATTATTCTGTCGGTAAATAGAACAAGTATCAAATTAAATGAGTAAGACCAAAACTTAACACACAAGACCAAGACCGAGATTATATCATTAAGACCAAAACTAGAAGTATTTGAGTAAGATCAAGATCAATACCAAGACTGTTCCGGTCTTGCTTTGCTTATCGCTATTCATGTCGAGGGTGTACAACTAGAAGTGTGAAACTTACCGGATGTGGTACATGATCGAATTCCTTCTTCATCATTAGCGTTTGGAACTGATAGTCATCTTTTCTTCCAATGTGGACGACGGACGGTCGAGTGGTCTTGTGTCTTCTAAGAGCCTTCGGATCATCGGATCTGTGACTGTCAAGTTGATCACGATCGGTTCCTTTAAGGGCCAAGTCTTCCGGCTGAGTGGAAATTTTACGTTTCGAGTCATCACCCTTATCGCTGGCTTCGACCGGAAGTGAGTATTTGCGTGGCTTGAAATGCTGCTGAGCGTGATGATGATGATGTCTACTGAAACAAAACAAAAAGGAAGGATTGTCATTTCCTAATGGACTAATGGATTTAAAACGCGTAACGAATAGCGTCGTCGATACGATAATAGAATGTGCGGCTTAACTGGCAGACTACAACTGTATTAGTTCCTTAAGGATGTTTGGGAGGTATGTCAAAATGCTACAAGACAAATAAAAATTTGGAAGAACGTTGCTCATTCAATTCTAAAACTCCTGTAAAAATTACAAATCCATTCACTAAACCGTTAAAAAGTTATTGAAATTTTAAAAAATTGTAATTTTACACGTCATTTTATGGAGATTCGTTAACCGAACAGATTAAATTTATTTTTATTAACAGAAAAAAAGCTACCAGAAATTTCAAACTTTTATAATAAGTAACTTGAACTCTGGA